TGAAGTGACATTTTTTTTTCTGCAATGTTATGAACTTTTAAGTTGCATACTTGATGGTAAGCGGTTTACTTCCTGTCTCTATGTTCACCAGTTACTTGTAGATTGAGGTTTCGGGTAACTAGTAAATATGAGCTCAATGTGCACAATTAATTTTGGTCTCTACTAATTCTTGAGAATGGTTTTAAATAGATAATTGTTTTACTGTGTTCACCAGTTAGTAAAGTTAAATATACTCTGAACAGCCACAACGCTTTGACCATTCACCACTTAATCATAATCATGTTGTTTTAGATGTGGTAAGATGACCAGTGATTTGAGTTAATACAGAGAGACTATGAAAATACCCCAATTTAGGATATAGGATTATTAGGACCAATACCGATATTTGGTCATTTCAAAATCGATATATGGGCCAATTTTTTTCAAATTCTATTTTCAGGTGCGTAAAACATAAAATTTGTGTTTTTGTTCTTATTTATAATTTCTAAGATAAAATATTCTTGTTTTTTTCCTACAACAAGTCATGAATTACTCGTTTACTCTCTGCCTGACTCTCCTTACATCAGCTGGTTGTTGTGTTTGCAGTGTTGCCTATTGTGACAAAAGAAAATGAACAATGAAAGTGAACTGACATTACTGAAAATCAGTTTGATCATATTACAACATATCACCAGCAGGGTGTGCTAAAGCATGAAATTGTGTCCACTAGAGTGCCCTCTAGTGGACACAACTTGGAAAAATAAACACTCATAGAATGACTGAAGGGTGTTTCTTCCATCTTTTACCTTTTTTATTTTATTGCCTGTTATAAATGCTGATACCAGTATATTAGCAAATAGCTAACATCAGTGATCATAATACTACTGATGACCAGCAGAGTGTGCTGAAGCACCACTGTTAAAATAAATTTAAAACTCTTAAAGCAATTCAAAGAGTGAATTTTAGTGTGTTGCATGGTGTGTGTTACTAAAAATATTAGTTTTATAACTGCCATAACTCCACCAACCTTCAAATCAGCAGTTCCACTTGAAACTACCGAGCGGTGCAGTAGTCCACTTATAAACAATACTGATACGTATCCGCAAGTTAAAGCACGTGTCAGCAACTCACATACAAAACAAGTTTACCTCTCAATAAAGTTAATGCCCTTGTCACCTTAGCTGAAAAATGTCTTCAGTAACATGTGCTGGTGTTTTGAGACATGCAAGCACAAACACACCCATCACTTGGGGCACAATGCCAGTTGCTAAACTCTATTTTAAATGACAGCATTAATGAGAAATATTGGATAGTCAGGCAGAATGCTGCACCTGTTCATGTAGCCTTGTACATCCTGAAAGCGAATGAGGACGCAAGGAGCTTTACCCCGTAACGAGGCCAATAACTAGCTTAAAGCCTTTTTGTGCATGTTGTTTGCTTTAATGTGTCCTTGGCTCATGAGCCTTGATAATGTTAGTAAATACATACAGGAGTGTGGTGAAACTGGGCTGGAATCCACACATGGAGGAGGAAGGGAGTGTCACCAGGGAGAAGAGAGAAAAGAGAAGTGGATGATTAGACTGGTTTTACTGCTCCTCTGCCGACCTAGAAAAACAGCAGACCTGACCTTGCATAGCAGAACCCTTATATATCTAATGATCTCTGAGTAGCTTAATGATACAATGTTTTCTCTCTCCCACTCTTTCTCGCCGTTTTCCTTCCCTCTCACATTGCAGCTTTTCTCTCTCTTTTAGCACAAGCTTTTGCACACGCACACTAGTCCACACAGACACACACAAAGTACACAGCCTTGAAAAACCCAGTCAGCAGTTTGGGCTCGGAGTCTAGCAAATGAGCTGTCCTATTGAAATAGAAAAGAGAGTGCTCTATGCTGTGGAAAATGCTGCTATGGCAAGGCTTATAGAAGAGGGACGGAGGGAAAATTACTTGTTCGGACAAAGAAACATGAGAATGTCCTTTCACTACAAATGTACCAATTTACATTTGGACGGGGCAGATTACATCCATTTCTTCTATACTTTATTTCTTTTTTAGCCCTTTTTTTTACCACCCTTACACCTCTTCTCATTATCATTCATAAAACGCCACTGTAAGTGCAGCGAGAGAGAGAAAAAAAAATTCCGATTCAAAAAAATTACCCTATTTTTCATTGATTCACTGTTCCTTTATCTTGTCCTAGGTACTCCATTGGTTTTTAACGCTCCAAGTGTAGTTGGACTCCTGCAGTTTAATGGTGGTAGCACCGTTATACAGCTCAGTTGAATTGTATCAAAGATGACTAACCAGCCATAGTGCCATTCCTACAGCGGGGTACTAAATACTGTGTAGCAGTACAGTACACACCAATAGGAGTGCATTTTTTGAGATGATGGGTCTTAAGTGATTGATTTAACTTAGCGATCAAGAAATTTGACCACTGGGAAGTTTATTAAAAAAGAGAAAGAACACATTCTGGCCTTTTTGTCATTGTATAGAAGGAAAACTTTGGCTTAAGTCATTCATTTTTGGGCTTAATTTCCTCTCTTTGACTACTTAATGCGTACACCTCCGCTTTGTCCTGGTATTCCCCTTTCTTGCTGCACGCGGTAATTAAGATTCCATTTTCCTTTCAGTACGAACGTTAAAGTGGAGGGTTATCATTGGGCTTCTGTAAGCTCAGCCAATGAAACACCTATAGTGACCTCTCTGATTTCCCCAATAGGGGGTCCTCCCTCCCAATAACCCTCTCCCCCTCTTGGCCATCTTGTTGTGTGGTCTCCTCTCTTCAGTTCTCTCATTACTCCCTGTGTGAAGGCCCGGGCGATGGGTGGCATGGGAGGAGTGGGGCGGTTGCAGAGGAGGGCTTCTGTCCCTGGATGAGTGAGTGTGGATAAGAAGTTGTTTGAATTCATAATTGTGCTCTTGTGAAGGGGGAGATTTGTAAAGCAAGGCTGGGTTCATTGTGTGGCAGTGCGGGTCCGGTGGAGGGTGCGAGCTGCTCAAAGCTAATGTAATCTACGCTATTAGAGAGGGTTAATTAGCTGCTGAACTGGAGCCTGAAGAGCAGGCAGAGAAGGAGAGGCACGCAGAGTGAGACAGAGAGAGAGAGAGGGAGACGGAGGGCGGGCGGGCGGGCAGTAGGGATAGAGAGGTCTTCAGGGAGTCATTAGAGACTGCTTGTTGTAATACAGCCACACAGTCAATAAGGCTTCTCCTCTGAGGAGTTAGAAGAAAGGCAAAGAAAGGCATGGTGGGAGAGAGAGAGTTTCACACCGAGCTTGTGGACGTTAGCAGCTCTGCCACTGGACACATGCTAGGGAAATTCTTCCAACTTGTAACCTTGTAAAGGTTTTTACCGACAAAATCTGTCGTAAATCGATCAGTTCTCCACAAAAATGTATTTTTATAACACACCGTTAAATTGTAAAACATAATTTCATCATTGGGGTCAACTTTTTTTTCTTCTTTTTTTGTTTTCAAAACCAAAAAAATGCTCTGAAAAGTCAAAGTGTTTGGCTTCTGACTTTAAATACTTTAAATGCCTTATTTTTACTTTTTATTTATTTATTTGTGACTTCTTGCTGTCACGTCTTTTGTTATTAATTATTCCCTTTCACAGCTAGTAAGCAAGAAAACAAATCCCAAACCCAACCAAACAAAACAGAAATTGCACTCCAGGTTTCAATGTAATGAGTTAATTGTTTTTTTAATCAATATCCTTTAAGAAAGCATGCGTAAGTGTTCTGAAGCTCATCTATTGACCCACAGAGTTAAGTACCTAGAGCAGCTTGGTTCATTTACATAGAATATGTTGTTGAGTTGAGATAAAATGACCACAGATAGAGAGCAGACATCACATAGTTTCAGTGAAACTTTGGGAATTCAATGTGGAAACTTCTTATTCCAGCATAGTGAGTGGTCTTATTAGTCTATGTTAACATCCACAGAAATTAAGAGTTGCAAAATTTCAGGATGCAAAACTGTTGATTTCTTGAAAATGCATTAAAATGCTACTAATGCTAAATATTGGCTGTAGAAACCAAACCTGAAGAAAGAATATCGTATATTCCCTGCCTGCTAATTGTTTACATTGAACACAAAATGCATCAGTTTAATTAGACTACCAGGCCTGCATAATTTTATGTTCTTTTAGTTTAGCTTCTTATGAGTGTGCAAAGCCTAGCCTTAAAGTAGCTCATCTGAAGCACTGCAGGCCCCTGGCTAGCAGTTATATTTATCACCATGTCCTCCAGTAGTCCATCCTATGCTGCCATGAGTCGCTCTGAGCAAAACTTCGCTTAAGACGGGTAGTTAGTGTCTGCTCCCTTGACAGATTTAATGCAGATTAATTACTTTCCCTGGCCCAAGCAATCCATTTTTGTGTGTTTGTGGATGTTTTTAGCTTTTTTTTTTCTTGACCTTGGGGTGAAGTAAGACAGAAAGACAGAGAGAGGAAGGAAAAAAAGCCCTCCACACTAGACTTATACTCTCAATTTAATAGCCGAGTGAGGTGTTTCTCCTGCATCATCAGATCAATGGAGAGTAAATAGCCCGCACTTCTTGTTTCACAGAGCGGTATTGATCTTTTCCTCAGCCTCGGCTTCCCTTTCCCCAGCATCTCATGTCTTTCAACCCCTGGGACTGTGCTGATTGCCATAGATTGGACAAGCTAACAAGCGCATGATGAGGAACCAGGCTTTCTTTTCTTCTCATAGGCTGTTTCTTTTTTTTCCGTGTGGCACTGGCATGAACACACTCAGACAGACATACACAGAGGGACTTAAAAACATCAGATCTACACAGCTCGGCACCATAAAGGAATATGCTGTTTCTTTCTTGTTCCCTCTGTTGTGCCTGTTGTTCTGTCTTCATCTGCACTGAGAGGATCTGCTGTAGCTGTGCCCGTCTTAGGGATGTTTGCCAGACTGATGGAGTATACCTACTTAACTACACAATAACAGCAACCCAGAGATACTCAGAGTGTTTCTTCACCTCACTGGGAACTTTATTTTTTTTTCCAGCTGGCACCGTGTTTGTTCCAGAATCTTCCATCATCTCTGAAAATATCTCAAGTGGCCTGCGGAGAGCGACACACTCTGTTTGCTCTGGAGGATGGCAGTGTGGCGGCATGTGGGTAAGTTCGGTGTCAGTGCAGCAGACAGTTTGCCGAAGTCCAGATCTAAGGGGGATAGGAGGAGAGATAAGGAGGAAAACCCCTCCCCACATTCCATCCAGCTGATATTATTGCATAGATAAATAAGGGTTTGAAAAATTGTGCGTGTATGAGGATACGTTGATGAGAAATCATTGGCTAATTAAACTGTCTGTGTGTGCGGGAGTGCACTTGATTACATTTCTGTGCCTTTTCATTTCTTCCAAGCGTATAAAGTTGTAATAAATCTTGCTGGGTGTGGGTGAGACAGGTGCATGTGTTGCTGTGTGACTTAGGATCAATAAGAAGTGTGTTTATTGAATCCAGCAGTCTTTCCGTAAGGGCGGGGAAATAAACCAACTGGAATAAGCGATCAGATGTGCTTTTAAGGCTCATTACAAGCCTGTGTGGCATATAGATCTGCTTTTAAACAGGACCTTAGATTGGCTTATGCTTGAACACTGCAAATATTATACAGTATCAAAATTCAGAACCATATTAGAAAAACTTTAAATTACTTAGCTCTCTTGTTATTTATTTCCATGTTTATATGGCAATATGAATTTTTCTTTAGGGTATATGGTTTTATGGTAGGCTAATAGTGCCTGAATTGAGCAAGTTGGAATGATTTTGTTTCACATTTTTCTGTCATTGTCTTCCTTTTTATTTCTTTTCTGGTAACATGAGCAGCTGTTTGACCTACAGCTTGTCATTAAAACTGAAGACAATGAGCATAATCACAAAGGGGAAAAAAAACGTTTTTTTATCATAAATAATCAGGACAAATGTATGATCAAGGGCTGTGAATTGTACATTGTGCAACAACTGACTGAAATAACTAATATCTGACGTTTAACCAGCAGAAACAAAGAAAATCGTGAAATACACATCAACGGTTTGGTGCTTATTCAGGCCATCAGTCAATCTTTCTATTAAAATGAGATGAGCTGTGCTTTTATGAAGCAAATTTAAATATCTAATTATTATTATGTTGTAGCTTAAAGGGGAAATCAAAACTGGTAGAAGTGACCTTGCCGGGCCTGGCTGTTCATATGCCATTGAAATAGCTGTATGCAAGTCTGTGCTAATAAACAGCTAAAAGGCTAATACGAAGAGTGACAGCATTAAGCGATGACAGTGCACTGTAAAAAAAGGTTTCACTTAACAGTTTGTGCCATGATTATCCTTGCTGATGGTGACACGTATAAGTTTTACTAGCGTTAGATTCTGTCCTCTTCCAAATTCAAAATTAGACCTCTTTAGTATTCTTTGGTAAGCTATACCAAGCTAAATCATGACTTCTTTCCTTTCTTATCTTCTCAGTGCTATCTCACCTTTTACCTGTAGCTGATTTAACCACAAATAAGACATAAATGCACTCCCATTCTTCCCTCTCATCGTGGCTCCCTGTGTTTGCATGTAATATTTTAGGCGACTCTGGAAGGGATGACAGTTCTAACTAGGCCTATTAGGTAACCCTCAGGGTGCCCTCAGCACTGATTTGAGCACCATTAATTTTCTATTATGGAGTGCTAAAGATGTGCCCCTGCACAGTCATTCACCTGGCTTATTGAGTCTCACACACACCAATTGTGGACTTTTCCAGGGCAGTGTTGCTCAGGGTTTAGTGCGACCCCTCTGGGGAGCTAATTTATTATTTGCAGATATTGATCTGGCAGGGTAGGCCAGCCAAGCCGTGGCCGATGTTGACTCTGCTCTGGCCTGTGGCGACTTTAACCCTTTACAGATTGAAGTAGACACACACTAGATGGAGGGCCAGTCGCTTTCAGTAGAGCTTTGAATTCCTTTGCTTTTACAGTGTTTTCTTTTTTTCCCGTTCTAATGATGAACTGATGGAAAAAAAAATTTTTCAAAAAGGAAAAGATACGTTTTATCTTTCGGGTGGTGAAGCTTTAAAAAAACAAGAAAAAATGAGCAGACACATTCACACGTGCACGTACACACAGAGAGGCGCACAGTGTCTGGCCTGTCCAAGGGAAATAAAATCACAGTTAAGAGGAAGGAAAACAAATTTAGAAGGTCAGACAAAACATTTATCAAGCTGTGTATGTCTGGTGGGTAAATAACGGAGGGACAGTAAAGGGCATGACTCTGAAACCAACAGATACCTGCAACAGATCATCACACAGTCTCAAGATTCACTGCAGAAAACGGATATTTCTCTGAGGGTCGCCTTTGCAGCATTTACTAATATTCTCCTCTGTATTGCAGTTTTATTTTGAACATAAAACTGAGTTATTACAGCATACACCCATGTGACTGAAATGAAAGTTGTCATGGAGAAAGAAAGAAAAAGATTGAAGCTGCATAGACATGTCTGCTTGTGGATAGATTAGAATATAGTACATACTGTACAGTACAGCATAGCCTACACTGAAAACTGAATCTTTTTCCCTGATTTTGGGCTTCAACTAATAAAGGTTATGCATGTGCATTGTGTATATTTAAGTTGGAGTGCATATAATTTAATTTATTGTGATTATAAATAATGAAATAATCACCAAAGAAAGGGTGAGATTAAATAAAAACAATACTTCTAAATTTAAATCGATCACAGTGTAAGAGAAAACTTTTCCTTAAAATTGGATAAATATTCATTACATATGTTGTACAGTGCTTTTACAACTTAAGCTATATATAAAGGCTGTTTAAGAGTGTATAAGAAGAGTGTATAATAAGAGCAAATTGCAGCTATTAAAAAGAATATAATGTCATGCAGAAATATTCCCCATCAGTCCTGTGCTATGATGTCATTGAAATGACTCGAGCCAAAAACAGACTTCTGAGGGAGATGAACAAGACAGGACATGAACATTGCATGAAATCCAATATCCAGATGTGAAATCTGTGCACATGTGCATCGCGTCGGATTGTTCTGTTTTGCTTAGTTTATTTATCCATTTATGTCCTCATCGCGCATCTACTCTATTAACTTACTATCCAACACTAGTACTCACCAAACACAAACAGTCATGCCCAGGGACTAATAAGCAGAGTCCCCCAGGCCTCCTCAAGGCCTTGCAACAACCTCATTGTCACCCTGACCTGTATTTAATGCTCCCACTGAACCTCGGAGGCCAGACAGCAGTTTGCCTGTGTGTGTCTGTGTGTTTGCCTGTGTGTTTCCGAGCCAAGTAATTCACAGGAGATATAACCAAGAAAAAGCACAAAAAAAAAGAAAGGAAAAAGAAAACAAAAGCTGTAGATTAGAAAACCATGGGGGTGTCCTATGATGAATGCTAGGTAGAGGGAGGGGAGCATGATGATAGATGTCCAGAAAGGAATTACGGAGGATAATAGACCACCATTTTCCTTTTATACCAGTTGTTATGATAGCGTTCGGAATAATCTTTTACAACCTAGAATAAAAAATAAAGGTCACGAAATTATCTAGAGATAAAAGTGCCTCCAACTAATCCACATTTGTCCATATTACTTCTGTAAAGACCATTTCATGGTTGACAGGCCTGTCTTTTGTTGAATTTGGCAGAACCTGAGGAGATGGTACATATCCATCTTCCATGTTTGTGTGAGTCACTGAAACAGAGGTGGAGGTCAGAGAGAAGACATCCCTGATGAGGAAACATGATGGAGTGGATTTTCCACTGTTTTGCTGAATAACCTCTGCTAATGCTGTTACACAAGTAGCAGCAATCCGCCCATTGAGCCCTGGCAGGCAGGAGGACAGAGGGAGGAAGCCACCATCTTTACAAAACATCACATGCCACAGCCAAAACTCAAATGTCTGAGTGTTACTAGAAAGTAGAGATGGCACGATACCACTTTTTTATGTCCGATACCGATACCGATATCATAAATTTGGATATCTGCCGATACCGATATGAATCCGATATAATGTTTTTTAATCAACAAAACTGTTTTTTAAATATCTTGCTGCATTTTGTATAAGTTCATACTCAAGTTTAAAACAACAACTACACTAAAGCTATTCTGTTATACCTGTATGTAAAAAAAATATTTCATAGTTCAGCAATACTGATCAATCTAATAAACTCAAACCTGCACCATCCTCCCTATTCTGGTATTTTAAAGAGTACTTAGCGTAAATATTAAGCAACCTAACTAATAGGGTTCCAACTCCCAGCAACAACAAAAATAAATAAATAAAAAATAGGGAACCACCCCTCACGCTCCACCTCATGATGCTTAATCGACGTAATCAACCTTAATTTGATGCAGTGTGAAAAAAAAATGCACAGAAATCAATTATTTTTCAAGAAATATTAAATAGATTCAACATCTTTCTTCAACAAAATTGCAGACTGCACAGATGGTACCTTCCCAAAGGAAAAAGTACTATAGCTTACTAGGGTATATATATTAGACTTAACAGTTACTATATACAATAATGGACTTCATTACATTTTACATCAGATTAAAACTTTGGGTGTAAGATTCAGATAAATATTAAATAATTAAAAGCTCGACATTTTAAATGAGAATAAGAAAGAAAATTATGTCTTTGTGCCCCCTTTTCCCTGTTAATGCCCTGGCTAAACTTTGCTAGATCCGCCCCTGCACAGTTACCAGCGTCAGCTACGTAGAAAAAGATCCTGGAGTAGAAAGTAATATTAAATAAATTCTAACAACAGCTGATCAAGCTTAAACGTGCTGCTGTTGTTCAGCCGCTGGTTTCCTCTTTCTGGTGCAAAGTGGGCCAAAAACAAACAAGAGACACGGACTTGCGACAGAAAAGCCGATCAGCTGATCATTAAGCAGTTTCATGATTGAAGTAGCAGCCGGAGAGCGAGAGGCAGTCGCTAGTTAAGCTTAACGCAGGAATGCTTTACAAACATTCAGAGATGGACTTACACACTTGCTTTACTTCTCTCGGGGATAACTTTGTCAGAGATGAAATGCCGGGTTGCTAGCGAAGCTCCACATGCTATCCAGACCACCGACAGGTCCCGCATGCCACAGCCGCTCTATCACGTGATGCA